TTTTACTGAGATAATGTATTTCACCCTCTTATTATTAATCATTTCAGATCATGACGACAAAGATTCGGATCCTGAACAGCAAAAAAATTAACAAAAATGTTGCCTCTCACTTCTCCCAGCTGCACAACAGAGACTTTTATGTTTTTTTCAATGAGTATTCTCGTAATTTTACTGGATATTTCAATTAAACTGTACAAAAAAATATAAGCCCAAATTCTAAACTACTTCTGCAAAACTAATAAATTTCAATATTATTATTTAGTTAATTGTGGGTCTCTACAACTTATGTTTAACCTAAATGTTTAGTTTAATCACACACACACACACATAAATATATATATATATATATATAACAATTAAATCATGTATTTATCCTATCTAGCTAGCTAGGAGTTATTGATATTGATGTCCATGTATAATAGCCCTTAGTTCTCTTTGTTCAAACTTGGAACTCATGCATATGTACTGAAAGGATTTCTAGTGCACTAATTATTAAGACTATTTTAATTTTGTTTGCAGTGAATAATGAAGATGCTTTGTGTTTTTTTAGTCACTTTGACGTTGTTGAAGTCATCCATTCGAGTTTGATTATTTTTTAAATTCAATGAATACGAGTTTTTCTATTTTAATATGCTCTCATGCCATTATCAAATAAGAATGGATAAGAGACTCGTGGGATTGATGTAAGGGGATAGAGATGACTGTATCTATGGGACCGAACTCTAAATAAAAAATAAAATTTATTAATTAGATATTAAATATTTTTATATTTTTTTACGAAAATATTTGGTATGTCTCCTTTTAAGAGATCAAATTGTTATTGGCATGCATATGTAATCTAATAAGTAAAATTTATAAATTTTATTTTAAAAAATAAAAATTTCAAATATGTAAATAATTAAATAATCATTATACTTGCGGACCAAGTTTATGCACACTTTTTTTTTGTATAAAAATAAATTTTTAATCAATTATAAATATTTTAATTCTAAAATAAATTTATTAAAATTTTGAAATGGTTAATTTGTGAAAGAAAATTCATTCCCAAATCATTTTCTGCTGCCTTGAAAATCATCAAGTTAGAGAAAAAAAAAAAAGCAGAGGGTTAGGTGGCCACAAGTCTCCTCATTGGACGTGTAAATTTCTTTGCATATGTTTTCGTATCTTTTCTCCAAAAAAAAAAAGTAAATAAATTATTTAAATTATATATATATATATATATATACACACATACACACGTACACACACACGTATGTGGGTGTGTATATATCCACACATTTGACTTTGATTTTAAGTCCAAGCTTTAATTTACTAAATGCATAGTATTTGTCACTAGCAAATTTGGTCGGTTCCACTTCCAGCTTTGATTCGTTACTTATAAATTGTGCATATCGCTTTTTATACTCCTCCAAATTTTTTATTACCAGCTAATTAATATTATCTTTTTAATTATTTAAATTTTATTTAAAATATAAATGTTATTATTTTATAAATACATCTTAGTAATATTTAATTAAGTTAAAGATATAAACTTAGTAAATTAATTTATTTAAAAATTATGATAACTAAATTAAATTAAATTTTAAAGAATTTATTATATTTATTAATGAAATGAATATTATGTTAAAATCTAAATTAATTTTAAAAAAAAACATATACAATTAATATATGTATGGACATTCAAATTTTCTAGTAAATTAAATCTTCCATCATTAACAAAACATTCTAATCATAATATAATAGAAATAATCTCTTAAAAATAATAAATATTAATACGGTCCAATTTAAATTCGTAAATTTTTTTTTTTTTTTTATAATAATGTATTTGTGTTACAGACAATAAGAGATAGCTATAGAATTTGGCCTGAGGAAGCCATAACTGGTGCAGCAATTTCCTCCCCATTAATGCAAGAGTGTCAACATAATGTAAGTCAAAGTCAACATTGAAATTATTCAATATTATACTTTTAATTAATTTCATTCAATTATCAAACTACGTGGAAAAATTTGTTTGTTGTAAAAAAAAAAAAAAGGATGGGAAATTTAGGAACTGAAATTTCTCGGCAAAAACTAATAATTGTCGTGGTTAGTGGTTGCCCAATTTTTTTTTTTTAATACTATTTAAATTAATTTTTGATTAAATCAGTACTTGTATGTATATATATATTTTTTAAAAAAATTTAATTTAGTTTTTACCATTAATAAAAAATAATATTTAAAGTGTAATATACTGATATATAATTTTTATTATCTAAATGTTAGTTGAATTTTTTTACTTAACATATTCAATGTAGTATTAGAAAAATACGAATGTGGAACGAAGGTCCAGAGAGAAAATTAAACCAGCTCCCGTTAAAACAAAAAAAGAAGAGGAGGACCATCTGCTTCGTCTACCTCGTGCACGCGTTGACATCTGCTGTCAACTTCCTGGGGCACGCGGTCTTTAAGATAGCCGTATGAGTCCAAATTGGGAGCTGAGAAGCAGAGCCATCCGCCTCCCAAGTGACACGGATATGGACTTTCCTTAGAGCTTACAAGTCATTTAATCCTCGTTCTTTACATCATCATCTCTACATACAGATTCTGCCATCCATTAACACACACACACACATACATATATGTGTGTATATATGTTTCTGTCCAGGAGTTTCTTTTTTTTTTTTACTTGTTCAGTTTTTAATTTGTGACAAAGTAAAAGAGTTTTATGTTGTCTGTTTGCAGTAGACTTTCAATTATATTACTCCTCTTCTTTTCCAGGATTTTCAAGTCACGCAGTCTTCATTCATTACTGAGATGATTTTCTTTAAAACAAAAGGGTATTTGAGATTGCTATAGATATATGCTTGAAATATTTTTTTTTTTTTACAAAAATACATGTTTGAATAAAATATATATTACAAAAAAAATAATTAATACATTTACTATACTTGTATATTACAAGAAGTGAAAATCAAAAGAAAATATTTAAAACTACTCATAAATAACAAATTAAACAGTCTCAAACATCTTCAAAAATGAAAAAAAGAAAAAAAAAAAATTTGTTCTTACAATTTTGTTCAAAATATCCTTTAAATTTTGATCTCCCACCTTCTTATATATATATATGTCTTCTTCGATATTGTAACATTTTTTTCAAACTACAAACACATATTCACCGGACACTCAGGCACATTAAATACGTAGAGTTGATAACTTTAAACAAAACTATACACCTATTTTTCAAAGGATAAGCTTAGTACCTATTAAATGTTACATGCTTATAAAATGAAAAAAAAATAAATTAAACTATAGTATTTTTTTAAGTCTTTGGTGGAAAACTGATGCCGTAATATTAATGTCCTGGAAGTTTACAGAGTAGTTTCGTAGATGTTCATTGACTATTTGTCAAGGTTGTCTATTTTGATACAATGCAGAAAAACTTTCTAGCTCTAACCGCTGAAGTTGAAAAACAGTAAATGACAAATATAGCACTTTAAGCTACCATCAAACATAAACCATGAAGGCGACAGTTTAAAAGATAAGCCTTTAAGTTAGGGTCAAGTCAATGCAGAAAAACAATCGGAAAATAGTAAGTTCAATCAAACTGCCTTTTTTTTTTCCTGGATATACATTATAGAACAGATTTACAGTGAGAGAATATTTTCCATTCATTTTTCCTCCAAGTAATTCCAGACCTGGGTATAAATCATAACATGTCCCACTGCACAGTAGAGTGGAAGTTGCATGAGTAGTTGCAGAGACTAGTGTCTTTACCACTCATCTTCGAGGCTAGCTCTGTGAAAACACAAGACAGTGCAGACAAATATGAAGAAAGATGCAAATTCAATGAACATAGCTCCTGTCCCAATCAGATGAGCGTGCCTTAGGATGATGGGAATGGCTATGCTCCCGACAGCAGATGCTCCTGTTAGGAATTTTGCAGCGTCTATCCAACTGCAGCACAGAATTAATAGTAAGGATAAAGAAACAGACCTCCCAGAAAATGGCAAGAAAAAAAACAAAAAAGAACACGGGCTTGCAAGTGAAATATTAGGCATCCTGAAAAAAGGCGGATGTGCCATTTCCTCAGGACAGGTAAATGGGTAGATATATATCAAGAACTTTATGTGCAGTCATTCTGTTTAGTTCAACATTTTGTCAGAAGATCCATCTGCAACAAAATTTCCGTTGAATTTTGGAAGGTGGCAAAGGCACAAGGTGATCACCACCATTTGATGGAGTTCACAAAAACCTCAATCATTAAAATATTGTTATTTCGATCAACAATATTTGCTGGTGTATACAAGGTACTAAGGGATCCAGCAGAATAATTTAAGACCTATAACATTGCGAGGCTTAAAACAATGCCTGGAGATTGTTGTTGAACTTATTATTAGTTTGAAGACAAATGGAAAATAAAAAAAAAAATCAACAACATATTAAACCAGTTTATAAATAGATATAGATTTATGAATATTTACCCCCCACCATCGCGGCTAATAAGGAACTGAGTAGACCCTCCTCCAAAGAACAAACAAGGCATAGGGACTATTACATACATGAGAGCTGCAACAAAGATAAACTTGGATTATCATTCTTCAGTAAAACCTGCAGTTTGTAAGGATGACAAATTATGTTGCACTCTCACCTGATAGCATTGGCCACCAATTGTTGTACACCGCACATGCCTGCCATCAGATATTAAAAGAAGATAAGTCTTTTAGTCATGAGATTCCAACTTGAAAGAAATTTTATGGTTCTCCACCTTCCTAGCTTTACTTCCCTATTTGCCGACTGTGATGCATCACAAACATGATACAAGTTAAAGTTGTCTCACCCTAGGATACATTTCTTCCCCTTGACTAGCCACCAATGAAGGTGGAGTGAAGCATTTCTGTGTTGCACCAATCTACTATATAATCTAAACTACAACCACTGGAAATTTGCCCTCCAACACCACATATAGAAAGTTACAAGCAGGACTTTGAAGAATCATCTAAAGTGTCTGCTACCACCAACAAGCTTGAAAAGGGAGAGAAACATTTTCTCATGAATCCTGGAACTGCTCTCTACCTACCCCATTAAACAAGAAGAAACCCATTTCAATTCTAATTAAGAGGAGAAACAACTAACACAAAAACCTGGCACTCTACGCCCTCAGAGATACCAATCGAAAGTCCAGCATCTTCTGTTTCATATAACATTAATAACAGAGTATGGAGAAGAAATTTTCAAAAATAATTTGCATACTGCAATCTTTGAACATTCTTATAATATCCGAAACCGAAATTTAGTACGAGATTAATTTTAACATAAAAAAATATATAAAAAATTTATTTTTGAAATTAATAAATCTTAATTTAATGAGAAATTATGAAAAAAAATAGGTTGAGAATGAAATTGAAAATAATTTTGGAAAAAAGAAGTGAAAATTTGAGTTCAGATGGTGTTTTTGAAAGAAAAATCGGAAACTAGGAATCAAAACACAATTAAAAAAAATTGTGTCACGTAAGACCGCCTCAACGAACCGGAGCGCGCTGCGTGGCAAGGCATGCTAACTCGGTGCTATGCGAGAGGCCACGTTGGCGATCCACGTGTCCTGCAATCGGATGGCCCGGAAACATTCCCGCGCGCGTAGACGGTTCGAATCCGCTCTCTCCTCATGAGCGATCGGAGGGTTGCAATTAAACGCGATGAACAAAACAGATTAAACGCGATGAACAAACTAGATTCATTCCATCTTTAAACGTGATTGGATGGTCGAGAACAAATCGCAATAAATGATTCAGATTCATTTTCTCTTTAAACGCGATCGAACAATTGAGATCAAACGCGATGAACGGCCCAAATTTACGCGATATGGGTATAAATATTTCGCATCACGCCAAACTCAAACTCTAGCCGCCAGTCTCCTGCCGGAGAAGAAAAACCAGTCACCAGAGAAGGGAGCCGATCCCTGCCCTCCACCGCGCCGGAGCCATCTCTGTCCGCCAAAAAAGGTAAAAATTCTCCTATTCGCTCGAAATTTGATTTTGAACACTCTCATCGAAGTAAAAAGAACGGCGGATGAGCCGAAAACTGTGGGCAAAACTCGCAACCGCCTCCAATGAACCCCTTTCCGTTTTCTGTTTCATGCGATTTTTCCACCGTTATGTTCACCGTTATATTTTTTACAAGTTGACAAAAAAAAAAAATTAACTGCGACGGTGAACCGACAGAGCCGTCGTACCGAAAAATTCTACAGTCGGTAAATTTTTGTTTTTTGACTTTTTTCAGCTAACCAAGACCCTCTAACGTGTTTTCTCACAGGAATGAATGTAAAACTGGCCGAAAACGGCCAGGCTAAGACAAACCGCCACCGCAAGCACCAGTGTCGTCGCCGGAGCACGTCTGTGCCACCGTGATGGAATCCCGAAATTGGCCGGAAAAGAATTTTTAACACCAATTTTGAATTTTTGGAGTATTTTTAGGTACGTGAAGCGTGTTTTAATTTTCGTAAGAAAATTTAGGAAACCCGAGAATCGCCAATAGACACTGTAGAAGTTCGGTGTTTCGGAGACTGATTCGGATAAGAATTCTTCACTTTATTCTCTATTATAAAATTAAAGCTTAATAATCGATAATATGGTATTTTGTGTAATTTAAAAAACTTTGATAATAATTACAGGTTACTAATAACATTGAAACTGGTTTAATCATTTATTTGTTATTCTGTGTAACTGATTATTAAATTTACAGTTTTAAATACATGATGATATACTGAAATGGTTGAATAATTCAATTGTGCTTTTTTAATATATATATATATATATATATATATATTGTTTGTCGTACATGATTTACGATTGATTTGTGAAATTAAAAATTAATATGCAAATGGAAAATTGTTTGGTCATGTGAATTAATGAATGACAGCCTTACTGGATATCCTATGTGATGGTGGACAGACCGAATATATAAAGAACCCTACTGTGAACGTTGCCTCATATTGGACGGAGTATGGAGACGGTCCGCTTCATCCTCATACAGAACGGGATATTGAGGGATGGTATTTTTGGCGCTCGTACCGAACGGGATACGAGAACGGCCGATTAGTTGACAATGTTAAATATTGATTCACACACAATAGGACATGCTTATAAACCCCTCAGGGATACCAGTAGGCAAATAAAAATGGAAAATTGTTATTCTTACTCACTTAAATATGAGATTAAAATTTTATTTAAATTATTGCCTATATAGATTTATTTTGAAAATCTTGCAACGATAAATATATGCAATAAATGATTTTTCCTATGATAAATAAATTTATTTAAATCAAGAACTCCATTGGTTATTTTTATGATTTTTATCAACCTTCAGTTTGTATATCGGTGAGTAATGTGATATTTTTACTGAAATAGTATAGTTCACCATTTCATTAACTATTTCAGATTAAGAGACCAAAATTCAATCCCGATCAACAAGAGGGTTGTGAATAGTTCACCACCAGAACTCCTTCAAAAACTAGTGAAGGTTGTCCTAAAATACTCAGTTATTTGTCTTTATTTATTTCTTTAATTTTCGTTTATTTTTTACAAGGGGCATTCTCGTAATCCTATTGAGCATTCTAAATTATTGTGTAAAGAATGTAACCCTAAACTCTATTATTTTGTTTTTGCATTTAATATATAACTTTATTTCCTTTTAAGTTCCGCATTCTACACTTCTTTTCCAACAAAACAGAAAAAATAACAAAGACAAAGACCCAATCAACCCATGTCTCTCCATTAGATAAAAGCTATAAAATATGATATACATATGGAAAGGTGTATTATACACAAGGTATCAAAAGGAACCACCATCGGGGACAGATCTCCGTTGTTAGAGTATTATGAATTATAATTCGAATCATATAATTTGAGTCAATTTAGTAATAAAAATTATTTGAATTATTGAGTGAATTTTAATCTATCATGAATTACAGAAAATAATAAGAAATAATAGTAAATCGCACAATTCAATTTGATTTTTGTGATTCACTTGTCCCTAGTTTAAACAAAAGATAATCAAAATACTTAGATAACTTGCTTCATTTTCTAGTTACAAGTTTAAGTATGATAAAGACAATTTTCTTCTGTTATTTTGAAAAATAAATCCAGTTCATGCAAAGATAATGTTTATAACTACACAGTTTGCTTGAAATAGGTACCCTTTTTTAGTTGTATAGAACATTAGTATCAATTTCCAGAAGTGTTTTTTTTCTAGAGTTCTTTTTACTTATATTTTATATGTACATGACAACAAATTTTGATTAAAAAACTGTTTTGAATCTTACAGTTCAAATTGATTTGTGATTCTTGATTAAAAATTTTTGGTTTTCAGTACATTTATATAAATCTCAATTCAAGAATTATGCAAAGTGTAGCAGTAGCCAACTACTAACGGTTCAAGATATCGATAAGATCTAAAGGATCCTCATATTTGCATAAACAGTGACCATCTAAGCCAAAAATATATGCTCCTTAATCAAAGATCTCCTGAACAACTTAGAATGATGAAGCCTCTCCTTCAAAGGGACTCAATTTTTTTCCTCTCAAAACACTCCATGAAATAGGAAGTGGCATACCAAACTCTCCTGGTGATCTTTAAAACCAGCTAGCCATGTCACATCCAAATCTTACCCTGAATAGAATCGGTTACCACCTAGCACAATGCTAACTTTGAGGCTACTTCCCACAATATTGTAGCCCAACTGCACCAGAAGAAAGAAGAGCAATGAGACTGTTGTGGCACTTTATGTTAGCAGCCATTAATCCAAATTTATCTCTTTCTTCCTAAAATTATCAATAGTTAAGATGCACTGCCACACTGCTCCTCACCGAAACAAAAATTATGTACCCTGCAGGTGGCAGAAGTTTTAAGATGGCTTTCCAAGAGAAGTTTTGCCTGCCAATAGCACCAGAATTTCTCAGAAACTCCTAAAAGAAACTTAGGTGCACTACAGACATGTCCCTTCCCTCATGCCTAATATTTCAACCCACAGATAGCAACATAGAATCCAAGCACAAAATCCTCTTCCCAGTCACTAAAGATTGTGACTGAAGGTAATATCCCATAAAACTATTCCATTAAAAACTTTGAAAAATCCACCACCAAAAATCCATTTTTCTAGCCAGAGTAGACAAAAACTGCATATTGACTCACTGCATCATGATTAACACACCAAACTTACTGCCAAAAAGTAAAAACAGAATGTTGTCACCAGCTCCTACAAATCAGCTTTCCTCTAAATGCTCCCCAGCTCCCTCTTATCCACTTGTACAACCCTGAAACCTATATTTCTACCACCTCATTGAAAGTCCAATGTCCTGTCCAGCCAAAATCTTGTAACAATAACTCTCACCATATCTCCTCTCTATGAAATCTTCAGAGCTAATTGGTACCTAGAGCCTGCTAAAACCTATTGAATAGAAAACAAATGACATATTTCCAGTGCATGATATAGTTGAATCAGAATCAAGCTAACACAAAACTGAGCCTAAACAAAGCTCATTGGCCATAAAACTTGGCTGCTTTTACAGTGTTAGCTACAGAAGCTTCTTTTCAAGCTCGATACAGTTCATCCTCAGCATAATTATCTTATTTCTTCTATGTTGAAACCAACAAGGATTTCTTTGTCGATATAACTGTAGAAATTTGAGATGCAGAAAAGTTTCAACCTTCATAATCATGCCTCGCTAGGTTTGTGTTTCCTAGGCATTCCCTTTTTCTTTTCCCTTTCGGATTATTGCATTGCATAAAGATGAAGGTTTGTAGTGCAAAAATAGTCACAACTCAATGCAATTATCCAAAAACCTACACGCAGTCCTCCTTCAGCTGTAATAATCTACTTTCTTTGTCAAGGTATACGTTCTTATATGAACCTAGCTCGCAGATAAACCATATGTATTCAGAAACTTTCTCACTGTATTCTGAATTTTAAAATTTTTAATTACTGAAAGGATTAAGGCTGACCCCAACACAAGACTGGATAACACATGATGCCAAAGTAGCTTAAATTGAGACTCTCTCAGCAAAATTGAATTATCTTACACAGAGGAGAATACACAATCTCCCACTAGACATGTAGTGCACTTTTATGAAGGTGATAAGATCATTTTCAATGATGTGTAACGCATAATTCCAAATCAAATTACAAATTTGGTATGCATGCTTTTTGACTTAAACCCAGAAGGCGCAATGGACTAAAACATGCTAGATATCATTAACCAAGAACATTTGTCCCATTTCACAACATTCTTCAAGAAACCAATCGAGTCTTAAAGATAGAGGACCAAAGAATTCAAATTAGAAGAAGGATAACATGCAGTATCTGATAAGGAACCGTGATAAACAAGTCCAGGGCCACAAACACATTGCAAATAAATAAAAACCTGGCACTTATGATTACCCAGCTTAAGAAGACATACCAGGATCTGTAGCAATATGCTAGCTGAAAACATGAAGGCAAGTCCAGCGAGCCTGCAGATAATGAGAAGGTCAGGTCAAAGTCAATTTCCTGAGCAGCAACATAGGATAAAGCTTGCTTCTCAGGAAACAAAAAGAAAGCTGCAATAACTTAAATATCCAACTTACACTGCAAGGGAGGATAACAATTTTGCAAGGCCGGAGCAGCAATGAACCATAATAGATATTGATTAGTACCAAATACAAAGAAAGAAAACAACAAAAATCAAACAGAAGCAGATATTAAATAAAATCTCCATCAATAATAAACAGAAACCAAAGATAAAACCCGAAAAAAGAACATTAAGGGCCAAAAAATATCTACATTGTTTTGATTAAGGAATTCATTGTTAGATTATTTTTTCTATCCTTCAGTAAGATGATTATTACATCATTCTGATGCAATCGTCTACTGCCCTAATAATCATGGAAGATCAAATTGACGTAAGCATTTTGTGGCTTATGCTATCGGGTTCATTTTGTAGTTTAAGGACTCATCTACTCGATCGTGCTCATGTAAACCCTACCAGAACCTAAATACAGGCGGACCAAATTAATTCTCCATACAATATTTACAATTCTTTTAGTTAAGATAACATAAACCCCAAAATTCAACACATATCTTGCTAATTTCCAACCTGTACTGATAGCAAACGAAGAAACAGAGACAACAAAAATGCATCGACAACGGCATGAAATTGAAATTGAAGACAGACAACTGGCGTATATATGAACGATATGTACCTTCAACCGTCATCGCCATTACAAAAGAGCGATCCTGGTTCAACAGCGATCGGATTTCCTCTAAGCGGGAGGAGTAAAGGGAAGAAGTATAGAGGAGAAATTTAATTGGGTTTCTTTTTAACTGTACGCTGAATTTTACCGCCACTGTTAATTTTCACTATGTAGCATGGCAATATATGGATAGCTCTTTAACTGTACGCTGAATTTTCTGTTAATTTTACATTATGTTAATTTTTTTTTATTTTCTAAATATTAATAGTATTTACAAAAAATGTATATATAAATTATATTAATAACTTCGAAAGCATAAAAAAATATTGTTATTAGTGAAAAAATATATTAAATTTTATAATGATTAGTGATTGTAGATTCTTAGTTCACAATATATATATATATAAGTTAAAAATAATTTCAACTATTTAATTAAATTAATAAATTTATAATAATAAAAATAGATATAATATTATCATTAATTTCAATTGATTTAATTAGTCAGTTAAAATCATTATTTTCAAATACTTTTATAATATTCAAACATGATTTAAATATTTT